GGGCGGGCGCGGGGGGACCCCACCCGCGGGGGGGGGGGGGGGGGGGGCGCACACCCGCGCGTATATTACAAGCAATCGGGCGTCTCTACAGACGCCTAAACGCTTGTATGTAAACAGCCATCGCTGGCTGTTTACATTGAATGCCGATTTCCCGTTCGTGCGCGCCACCTAGCGGCGGGCATGAGCGGGGCAGAATGGCATATTTAAAAACCCCCACCCGCATTCAAGAAGGCCCTCTCCGGCAGTTTAATTACAACGGCCGGACAGCAGGTGGTTAAGGGAAGAAAAAAACACCCTGTTGCTGTAACAGTTGAACTGGGCTTTGCTGGAGTTGGGCATCAATTTTGTGTGTCTTTTAAAATCCATGCAAAACTACATGTTCATCTAAGACTACCCTGTCCATAAGGTGACACCACCACTGTGCAGTTTTGCTGCTGAACAATCAGGGTTGTCACCCTATTACACATACATGAATACAATGGCAAAAATAACAGATGGTAGGATCACCAGGTAATAAAATGATGTTACAGGATGGACTCGGGGAAACAAAAACTGCTCTGTTAGTGTTTCTGACAGAGCGCATCATATGTCCTGTATATTTTGCCCATAGTTGCACTTTGAGTAATGACTGCGATTGCTGATTCAATAGACACATATAAGAAATGTAAAAATTAGGGGTATGCAGGTGCAAGCTGAACTGGTTAAATGTCAAATTGACAAGTAATTTTTCTATGGATTTCTGCTAACTGATCATTTGCATCTGGTGCAGAGATGTTGATTATGTAAATGATACCAAGCCACCCCCTGACATGCATCTTGGAGTATAGTCATCACAGGAGCCCGCTATTCTTTAGAGCTCCATGAGTGGGCTGTACCAGGTTTTCACTCTGATTAATTGCCTTGTATTATCCCGTGAGCATCCCTGTTCTCAAAACTGTTCTGTTCTATTAAGTTTTAGGGCTCGTTAACCCTCATCCATGCCTAGAGTGGGTCACATGCACTGTGCTTTTAAGTGCTGCATTGATTTGCGTTAAGTTGCTTACAGCGTGGCTCCGAGCCGCTTACAGTTGCTTTCGCACTGACTTATTTGGGGAACAAAAGTAAAAACTGTTAACAAATCTCATGGCTCATTAACCCCTTCCCATCGAGCGTACGATAGATTCAGGTCTCGTACTAATGATTGTGAACCAGGAGAACTGTATATCAATCGTGATCACAGAGGTAGCTTGTGATTGGCTATCACAGTTCATTAGATGTAGAACCCTCTGAGTAGAAAGAGAAACATTGGGGGAAATTTGGCATTGAACCCCAGAATTGGCAGGTCCGCCACTGGCAGCCTGTGCTTTTCACAGATGAGAGCAGATTCACCCTGAGCACATGTGACAGACGTGAAAGGGTCTGGAGAAGCTGTGGAGAACGTTATGCTGCCTGTAACATAGTTCAGCATGACCTGTTGTTTGGTGGTGGGTCAGTGATGGTCTGGGGAGGCATATCCATGGAGGGACGCACAGACCTCTACAGGCTAGACACTGGCACCCTGACTGCCATTAGGTATTGGGATGAAATCCTTGGACCCATTGTCAGATCCTACGCTGGTGCAGTGGGTTCCTCCTGGTGCATGACAATGACTGGCCTCATGTGGCAAGAGTATCCAGCCAGTTCCTTGAGGATGAAGGAATTGATACCATTGAATGGGCCTCACCTGAATCCAATAGAACACCTCTGGGACATTGTCTCGGTCCATCCAACGCCACCAGGTTGCACCTCAGTCTGTTCAGGAGCTCAGTGATGCCTGGTCCAGATCTGGGAGGAGATACCGCAGGACACCATCCCATCGTCTCGTTAGGAGCATACCCCGACGTTGTCGGGCATCCATACAAGCACGTGGGGGCCATACAAACTGAGTACCAATTTGAGGTGCTGCAAAGGAATTTCAGCACAATGGACTAGCCTGCTGTATCATTTGTTCACTTTGATTTTGGTCTTTGAATTCAGCTCTCTGTAGGTTGATCGTTTTTCATTTCCGTCAAACGATGTGGCATCCTTTCATTCCTAACACATTACCCAGTCCAGATAATCCTCGCTTAAAGATTTACCTGCTTTGAGACCACTCGCACTTACGACCGTCCGAGCGACCTCCGACCTTGCGCGTCAGCGCGGCGTGTCGCCGGCAGAAGTGATGTCCTCCGATCTTCACTGCGGGTCCCGGTAAGTATTTTCATTGCACGATGTACAGTTACACTGTTCGGTACTGTACATCTGCAACGCTATACAGTACTGTACTAATGCAGTACAGTACTGTATAGAGTTCCTCACTTAACGACCAATTAGTTTAACGACCTGGTCATAGGAGCGGAGCGCGGTTGTTAAGTGAGGAATACCTGTATACAGTAGATATCCAGCAGGATATTTTTCCCCATTGAGATCTGATGTGTGTTCTAAGTGTTCCTTTTATTGTTTTGATCAGTTTATTGATGTTCTTTGATCACCCTGACCACTTGAACTAGCATTTCCAGACATACATCAGCAGGTGCAATTTCCATTGTTTTCTCAGTACACGTGTCCTTTAAACAGAGAGGGACATGATTGATGACAAATATAAATGGTTCCACAAGGGTGATTATTGCAGAAGATTAGTTTAACTTGTTTGATGTGTAACTGAATTTGTTTCCCTAAAGATTGAATTCCAGGCAAATATAGAAGACCCCATTTATTACAGCTGCTTATTCCTGTCTTGATTGCAGCCTGCCATCCCTTGCACAGCAGCACTCAAACTATTATGTATCATCTGTTACATGCTCACTGGGAAGGCATGTTGACAAGAGGAGACAGCAGAATTGACCCACCGTTGTATTTTTGCTGCTTTTCAGTCCAGTTATCAGGCTGTGGGTGAGTAGGTGACACCACTGTATTCCTTATCCCAAACACAGAAAGTGGTGTCACCCTCCTGGCTGTACTGAGTGGCAGAGAGGAATAAAGTACAGAAGTGAAAAAACAATATTGTGCCGAGCTAATAATCATACATATCTAATAAATTGAAACATATATAAATGAGTCACATATATGAGCCTTCAAACAAATGAGGCATAAGAAATATCTACACACATACAAAAAAGCAATATAGGCAAAAAAAAGTCCCAAGGAAAAAACAAACGCAAACAATGGTGATTGTGCAAAAAAATCCTCAGATGATTCGCAGCCAATGTGCATATAACTCTCAGGTAAGGATAATCACACAATGCAGGCAGACCTTCACCTCCACACAGTGAGTGATGATAACAAGTGAATGCTCACCTGGGGAGGTAGACCCACAGAGCTAGGTCAAATGCACTTTTTCCCTTCTTAATGGGGGAGGGAAGCCCATGCACAGAAAAAGGCGATAAGGTCTCCTCAGATCACAGGTACCAGTATAAATCCAGGTGGAAAGAGAAAAAGGACAAGGACATAGTGCGTAACGTCCAATAAAATGCAATTTATTATATAAAAAATGCGTACTCACAATGGTGTAAACAGTACAGGCATTGGGTATTGCTGGATCATACCAGCAGGACAAATGGCAGCAAAGTGATAAGAAAACTGTTCGTCCGGCTCAGCGTGGTGACATCACAAAGTATAGAAGTGTTTAGGAGTCATTACAAATCCTTTTGGCAGATGACAGTTCATTTATGAATATATCAGCTGTGTGAGTTCCAGTACATGTTTCCTGATGACTGATTTTGTTTTTTCTTCTTTTTTTTAGGCATGGGTTATATTACGGGATAACAAAGACCTAAACAGTGTGCTCCCTGTGGGAAGAATTATTTGCATGCCAAAAAGATAGCTTCTACATTTTCAATATAAAACACCTTAAACCTCAAGAATTTATGGACTACTTTTTTTAACCCAGAAATTAAATATATAAGGAGAAAAACTTTTTAGTAAAAAGTTGTTTTTGTGTACATAATCTTTTCTTTTATTGTGCTTTTTGTTTGTTTTTTTTCCTTGTCCTATGTATATGTTGGTGGTTTGTGCTGCCATGACTCATTGTGAGAATGGAACCAATGCCTTTTTGTTCTCTGAAATCTGTTCTAGAATTGCACTACACTTTGATAAAATGTATGTCTTAGTCTGTACGAATATACGGCCACTCAGCCAATGTACTGCTGTCCTTTGTTTATAGAGATTAAATAAGAGCCTGAATCTGTTTACCCCAGGTGATGTCTTTTCAGTTCCTCTTCTGAGAAATAGTTTTTTTTGCTGGAAAAATTCCCTCCTTTATTTAACTGGGACCAAACTGGAGAAAGAGAAAGGAGGGCATGTTGAATAGAAAATTGTGGTATATTTAAGGTTAAAGTGAACCTGTCTTCCGAAATCTACATACTATCAATACATTGCTGCACAACCGGTATCAAAAGTTGCTTGCGAGTATGTTTTTATTTCACCACCAAGGGAACCTTACCAATCCTAGGGGAGCTATCTACTTAGGCTTTAGGGAACAGTGACGGCAGATGACTGGCTGGCCATTATTGTTCCCCTGAAACTTTTCCGACCGGCTCCTTTCATTTTCTGATTGGAGGATGCCGGATGGAAAGGTGCCGACAGGGCCACCCGCTAAACGAATCTCAAACAGTTGATCAGGAACCATCCACATTTTGCACAGTTAACGGTCAATCCAACTTCTTCTGTACAATTCTCAGTGATGTAAAAGAAATGTGAAATCCTGAGGCAAGAGTGAGCCAGCCTTGTAACATCCTGCAATCCTGGCTGCAGAGTTCTTTCCTCCTTAGTCCTTGAGTAATCCAAGAAGCTAGTGGCTTAATCAACCTGTAGTCATCCGCCCTCACCAAGTTCTGGTAACACAAACTATAGTTGCCATTTCATAATAAAGGGCTTCTAAAGCTGCAACTGTTGCAAAGTGTCACTGCATTAATGTGTGTTAGAATGCCTGTATCTAGTGGTGTCTGAAGGCCTGTGCACATTGTAGTGGGTGGATCACTTTTTCTTTTGAAGAGACAATGTTGTAAAGACGAGGTAAGAAAGACGTGTCCTATGCTAAACCTCTCAGAACATGTAGAACTACTGCTGTCGGGGACACTAGTGACTACTAAACATCCCAAATACACAAAACCTTTCTATCTGTGGGATCTTCTTTGCTACCTTTTCAGAGTTGGGTTTACACTGAAGTGATAGGTCTCTTACAAACTACAGATCAAGACTAAGCCAATAGTCGTTGTTGTGACCTCCCCATAAAAGCTTAGGATGACTTTCACTGTCCCAGACAATATTTCTAGCCTCATTGCTCATTCAGTGTACACGGTGCCTTAGAGTATTATGGATGGTAAGTTCCCATATGTTCATAACACCACATTACTAGTGATTTAGCCTGAGTTCTTGGATTAGGAAATGCATCTATCGCCTAGTGTCCTTTCCAGTGTAATTCGGCTCTTAAACAATTTCCCACTAAGGCATTCTCCTTTAAAACCTATGTAAATGAGGCCTGGCTTCCTGGTCTAACTAGAGAAAATATATGCATAAATAATGGGCTTCTCGTAAATACCCGAGCAGACCTTTAGTGGTGTTTTATGTACCTGTACATGTATATATGTGGTGGTTCAAAGAATGGCTACCTCTGCTTTGATCAACCCTTCTCCTGCTACCTGTGGTGCATTGTTGCTGCTAAAACACATTCCTTCCCCTCATTCTGCAAATTGTAATGTTCTCCCAATAATAATGCGGATGACCTTGGTCAGAAAATGTTAATGTTGCAATTTTTGTATTATAGGCCATGTTGGGATGGGCAGCCATTGTTGCTGAATTTGGGCTCTGCTACACACGCAGTACTACAGGCAATGTGGGCAATTGTTCTTTTTATGAATCCTTGTGCGAGTAATGATGAGGCTGGGCTTGGTGCAAAACCTTTTTGCCCAAAGACACTCAAAACTCTGACCACCACTCCCTTCTTCTAACCCAATCAGTTGTGGCAGGGGTGTTCCCCACCCCTTTGTCATGAGTAGCTGCAGGGCGGGGAATGCACCTCCCTGCAACTGATTGTGTTGGGAGGAGCAGGTGGCGGTCAGAGGTTTTAAGTGGGCTTGGGGTGAACTCATCACCAGGGCAGTGTCAGAATTATCACAAGTCTGCAGTATTGTGTAGTTCTCACTGGAGGTGCCTACTGATCTGAATAAAGTAGCTTCCCGAAAAAATAGACTTCCCATGCTAGCCTCACCGCCACTTTCTCCCAAAACCCATTTGTATAAAGCTCAGCCCCACATGTGTGCTATCCAATCATAATACAATACAATAGTTTCTGTCATTGCACCACCATATTCACCTTTCCCCAGACAAAGGAGCCGTAAGTGAACTATGGAAATTGTAGCCTCAAATTTTGGTGACGCCACAGATCTAAGGGAAGGGTTTTCTTGCTGTTAATCCACAGTGTGTTACAAGTAAACAAGGGGTCTCCTGCTGACAACTGAGGGTGCGTCTATAGGCAAACTCCAGCCTTCCAGCTGTGATGAAAATACAATTCTCATCATGCATCTCCCTCTGGGAGTCGTGGCTGTCTATAGTGATCCTCTTCACTCACAACCAAACAGCTGACATACATGATGGTGTACTATATGATGCACATTGGAGTACAGCTGCTGGTACTGCCCATCTCTGTTAAAATATTGCGTTTGCTGCTGTTCACATAAGAAATGTATGTATATGTTCTTTTTGACTTTATCAGTTTGTTAAAATAATATATGAAATAAAAGGAAATTGAGAAATGTTGTGGAATTTGCAGTTTTAAACTTGGTATCTCTGTGCTCCCAAAGTAAATGATTTTTTTTCTGTACGTAAATACACTCACTGGCCACTTTACTAGTACACCTTGTAGCACCCGGTTGGACCCCCTTTTGTCTTCAGAATGGCCTTAATTCTTCATGGCAACAAGGTGCTGGAACATTTCCTTCTAGAGTCTGGTCCATACTGACATGATGGCATCACGTATTTGCTGCAGATTTGTTGGCTGCACATCCATGATGCCAATCTATTCACTACATCCCAAAATGCTCTATTTTATTGAGATCTGATGACTGGAGACCATTTACATACATTGAACTTGTCATGTTCAAGAAACCAGTTTGAGATGAGTTTAGCTTTGTGTCCTGCTGGAAGTCATCGGAAGATATGTACACTGTAGTCATAAAGGGATGGACATGGTCAATAAAAATACTTGGGTAGGCTGTTGCATGTAAATGATGCTCATTTGGTACTAAGTGGCCCAAAGTGTGCCATCAAAGATCCCCCACACCATTACACCATCACCACCAGCCTGAACCATTGATACAAGGCAGTATGGATCCATGCTTTCGGTTGAAACGAGTGGTTGTTTGGGTTACTGTTGCCTTTTCGCTCAACGTAAACCAATCTGGCCATTCCCCTCTGGCATAAGCGAGGCATTTTTGCCTAGAGAATTGCCACACGCTGGATATTTTCAGTTCATTCTCTGTGTAACCTAGAGATGGTTGTGCATGAAGATCTCAAATCGATCAGCAGTTTCTGAAATTCTCAGAGCAGCCCGTCTTGCGCCAACAACCATGCCACATTAACTTCAGCAGATTGTCTTGACCACATCTACATACCTAAAAGCTGCCATGTGATTGGCCAGTGAGCGCAAGCTGCATTATGCCCAAATTAAAGTAAAGGGCACTGTACCTTTACTACATTGTCCTGTGGCTGAGGTAATGATATGACCTGACTTTCCATCTTGTACATACAAGCACCTCAAGGCATCTGATACTGTCTTTATTGACCTTAAAAAAAAAAAAAAAGAATCTTGTGTGTCTTTCTGATTTAGTTTCACTAGCCTGACCTTTGGGATAAGCCCTGCTCACCTTTATATGCTGTCCATTAACAGTAGCCGTGTGACCAATAAAGAGCTCTTACAGAACAGTTGAATGGCAGCTGGACATAGCTTAGTCCTAATAATGGCACAGGTCACCTGCACACCTTACAGCTTTACAACCATGAAGTAGTGGTCATGGTTGTTGTGATGTCACAGATGGCACCGTGCAGAACTCCAAAGTGTTAACAGTAAATCGCCAGCACACAGGATATAGCTTCAATCTTCTTTGTGTAAAATATCACATCATGCCATGTATGCTAACGTTTCAGGACCGCGCAGGGACCCTTTAGTGTGCCACTCTGAAGAGCGTAGTCCTAACGCCAGGCCCCTAACAAAGTGAAACTGAGAGGCTTTAAAGGAAACCACTCCTGAGAGAAAGCTCACAAATTACTACACAGACGCAGGCAAGCCACGGTTATCTGAAATTGTTCTGGATTGTTCTATACATTTGTTCATGACAAGTTTTTTTTTTTTATAATTCTGGAAAGGTTAGACCATCTGACCGGGTTTTATTATACTCCATATCCTTTCTGATGAGTTTCACCCACTATGTACTGGCAGAAAGTGATGAGACAAACAAAATGTTACAGTTGACACTGGAACAGGAGGTAAGGGGAGATTCTCCAACGGAGATACTTCTTCCCAGTAATAACCATCCCAGGTAATTTCCGTCATTACCTGCTGCCCTGCCTCCTGAATGGCCTGGAATCTGGCTCCATGCTGGGAAGCCGGCTTCCCGGCCAATCAGCATGGAGTTGTCCAAACAGCATGGAGCCGGCTTCCTGGTGAGTTATTACCCGCCGCCCGGCTTCCTGATTGGCCGGGAAGTCGGCTCCATGTTCCCTCGCGCTGCCAGTCAAAGGAAATCTCCCTCTGACCGGAAGTTCCGGTATCGGGGGTAGGTATCGGAGCATTTGGCCGGAGTACTCGTACTAGTATCGGTGCATCCCTAGATTTAACCATTCCCAAGTTCTAGATATGGCGGGAAAAGGTTAGAACTGCCATCAGGTTTGTATTGCCTGTAGCCCAGCTGGGGAGATTTTCCATCACCTACACAAGAATTAAGCAAAATGTTTGAAAACATTTTTGAGTTACTGGTATTGTCCTATTTCCAAGATTTTGTGTCACTTCCTGTCTCTGTGACATCCTGACACCAGCACAGGATGTGAGAGGAATTTTCCAGGAGAAAAATAAACCATAAAAAACTTGCGAGGAGTTCTAACCTTTCTCCAACTTCTTTCAAATAGTAAAGAAAGAATAAAGATGAACTCTGGAGAAAATTCAAAACTACCCTTCCGGTGAGACTGCCCCTGCACTGTAAGGATTAAATGCTCGTTTTTGTCT